AAGGTTGATCGTATATGAGGTCATTTATGGTTTATGGGGCCATTCCGACCCATTTTAGTGGTAAAAACAGGGAGTTGATTTTCCCCCATTGACTTATAATGGGGAGGTCGAGAAATTGACCTGACCTTAGGTCATCGATATCAAAATTCCGAGATAAATAAATTGTAGCTTCTAATGACCTTATAACATCCTGCGACTTTCGAAGGCCTCCGACATCTACTGTAGCTCTGGCACGGTGACAAAGTTGCAAAAAAGTGACTTGAGGTTGGGTCATTCAAAGTGACCTGGTGACCTGACCTTAAAAGTTAGGAGGTTCAAACTTGCACACCATGTGTAAAATTGATGAGAGAATAGTCGTAGAGAATAGTCGTACCAAATCGACGCCAACTTCCCGCTATTCGCGAAAAACCTCAGGGGGGGGGGGCGGATATCCGCCCCCCGTCGGTGCGCGTGTTAAATGACATTTGAAGTAATACGGATGCCATCCTCGAGTATACTTTATGTCATGAAGCAATCGGCAGTTGAAGTGTTTATTGTTCGTCCCGCCTAAAGGTCCAGCTGAAACTATTTCTCGGGTCAAGCTCATTATGTGACTGAAATAGATTGTGTTACAATAAAGTAGTTTCGGAGTCACATATCACTCCATCCGTCCGTACCTCCCTACTGTTGGCAAGAACACAACTGAGGTGTTTCCAAACCTCAGCAGTTCCCAAACCCAACCGAGTTTATACGGCATATTAACCCGCGCACCGACGGGGGTCTGCGCCAACTTAGTACCGACGGGGGGGGGGGGCGGATGACCGCCCCCCCCTGAGATCTCGAGAACGAAGCAAGATAGCGACAAGCGGTAAACGGCATCGGATACGCACGGACAAGGTCTACAATTTTTACTAAGGTCATTTTCAGGTCAGGTCAAAGATGACGTCACAGGGGTCGAAAAAGTCAAAATGGCGGCGCTAGATATGGAGAGGGTTTTTTCTCGAATAACTTTCGAAGTAGTCAAGATAGGAACAAACTAAGGGCACCATCGTGATCCTCTCGTCAATCCGCATCGAATGATATATATGTTGACCTCGAAAGGTCAAGGTCAAAGGTTGACCTCAGGTCACGTGACCTCGAGGTCATCATGTATATCATTCGATGCGTCTTGACGAGCTGAACACAATGAGACCATCCGCGCGGCTGTATCTTGTTCCTGTAAGGAGTTATTGGCAAAAAACCTTTGGTGACCTTTGATGACGTCACATGACCTTACAGCTGCCCAACAGCAAAACAGACCTGAAGGTAGTGAAGGTTGATCGTATGTGAAGTCATGTATGGTATATGAGGCTATTCCGACCCGTTTTAGTGGTAAAAACAGGGAGTTGATTTTTCCCCCATTGACTTATAATGGGGAGGTCGCGAAATTGACCTGACCTTAGGTCACCGACATCAAAATTCCGAGATATACAAATTGTAGCTACTAATGACCTTATAACATCCTGCGACTTTCAAAGGCCTCCGACATCTACTGTAGCTCTGGCACGGTGACAAAGTTGCAAAAAAGTGACTTGAGGTTGGGTCATTCAAAGTGACCTGGTGACCTGACCTTAAAAGTTAGGAGGTTCAAACTTGCACACCATGTGTAAAATTGATGAGAGAATAGTCATACCAAATTTCGCGGCGCTACGCGCCGCGGTTTTCCCGCTATCCGCGAAAAACCTCAGGGGGGGGCGGATATCCGCCCCCCCCCGTCGGTGCGCGGGTTAAGGGAAATTGGAGTTTGTCGCTGAAAAAAGTTGCTAGTGTCGACGCCAACTACACGGACATGGAAATGTACTGTGATAGTGAAATGAAACTACAGTCATTGGATACAGAACAATTTATTACCAGCTCATGAACTTTAGAACAAACATTAACACAACACATTCATTCGAAAACACAGACGAGGTCACGATCCAGGCCAGCGATGAATTGTCCGTCAGTCCAGTTCAGATGAAGCAGACGATACAGGTAGACAAGACGAGATACACAGGTTCTGATGAATAAGGTAAGGCACCTGACCAAAGGACCAGGTGTCCAGGGTCCGGCTGTGCCGCCGCACGCTGGTCCAGATTCACGTAAGACCCGATCAAAAATAATATTTGCTGTTTTCGAATTTACTTATTCCAGGGTTATTTTTCTTTTGTTATGTTCCTGGGGAACCAAGATATGCTTTTAGTTTGGTTCCCGAGCCCTCTGATCAGGAGCAGTGCGCGTTTAAAAGTGAGGGTTTTTTACCCTCTTTGCATGCCGCTTCCCAGCAAGTGACGAGTTGTGCTCGTGTGCTCACCAGTGAACGTTCGTGTCTCCAAGTTTTTGTGGTACCTCCAGTCACCCAAGGATGGCAACTTCCCAACCAAGTGGTCGTTTCCCCTTTTGAGCCAATACTGGGAGAATTCACTTTGGTTGGAATCACATGTGGTCGTGCGGTCGCTTGTTGTTTGTTCATCGGATGAAATGGTACAGAAGGACAGCAAAGTACAAAATCAAACTCATATCATGTGATACCTACGACATCACTCTTCACTTGGTAGGAAAAGGTTTTGCTACTTTTTGCTACTTTAGCAGTTAATTAGATTTTCCCGTTTCAGATCCACTCAATGAGATGACGTCCCCCACCCGTCGGGAGCTTCTGGAGGCGATGCTGGGAGCCGGTCCCCTGATGTCGGACGAGGCATTGCAAGCTGGTGTCGAGTTCTTGTGTCTTTCGGTTCCTCCTGGACGTGTGACTGACCGATCTGTCATCCGGGACGTCGTTCTTGATCACCGGAAGAAGATGCATCGACGCTGGGATGCTCCAGGAGTTCGACGGATCTTCGCGAAGATGCTCGACAAACATGCAGTCTGGCTTCTCGAATCTGTTCCAGTGGCGATCCTGGCACCTCCAGCTCCTGGGCAAGACGACCCGATGGATGGCCGCGGACGACCGTCGCAGATGCCGGCTGCCTTCACCCTCGTCTCCTCCCCCACCAGGCGCCGCAACGTGTCCCAGCTGCTCGACCAAGGATTCACCGGCGAGCAGCTGGCGTACGCGGCTCAGATGACTCTGAGGAAGGAGGGGAGGAAAACCGAAGCCGACATCATCAAGAAAGTGATTGCCGCTGACGGCCCGGACCCTACTGTGGTGCAGGCATCGTACCGCGGACCCCCTCCATCGCTTCCGAAAACGCTATCGGCCGACGAAGCTCTCGTGTTGCTCTTCAACACCAACATAACACGAGCTGCGTACCAAGAGGTCCGTGAGACATCCAAGGACCACGTCGCCGACATCTTCCCGCCGTACAACTTCGTATTGGATGCCAAGAAGCGATGCCATCCGGCTGGAGTTGTTGTCGACGACCGGGGCGCTTCTGTCCCCGTGCAGCAGTTGCTTGACCACACGGCGTCAAGGCTGTGCACGCTCCAGGCGTCGGTCATCCAATCGTCGGCAGCTCAAGGCTCCTTGATCCTGACCTCCAAGTACGGGTTTGACGGCGCTACCGGTCAACAAGTCTACCGCCATCGACAATCAACGGACGTCGATGACTCTACCATGTTCCTGGCGAGTATGGTCCCTCTGCGGCTCCGGACCGAGGATGGCCGAGTGATCTGGGCGAACCCGAAGCCAAACTCCACTTTCTTCTGTCGTCCGATCAGCTTCATCTTCGAGAAGGAGTCCAAGGAGTTGACCACCGCCACCTACGTCCAACTCCAGCAGGAGGTGGAGTCACTCACGCTGTCAGTCGTCCAACTCACTAACGACGTCACCATCTCCGTCCGCCATGAGATGACGTTGACCATGATTGACGGCAAGGTCCACAACGCCATCCAGGGCATCCGGTCGCAACAGGTCTGCAGCATCTGCCGGGCCAAGCCTACGGAGATGAACAACATCGACGGAGTCCTGGCCCGGCCCATTGCAGGAGACCGGACTCAGCACGGAATCTCCACTCTCCACTGCTGGATCCGGTCGATGGAGATGTTCCTTCACATCGCGTACCGACTCCCGTTCTGCGAGTGGCAGGCCCGTGGAGAGGAGAAGCAGCGGATCGTCAAGGAACAGAAGCAGCGGATCCAGACCGAGTTTCGTCAGCGTTTGGGGCTCCTGATCGACCAGCCCCTTCCTGGCGGAGCTGGAACGACCAACGACGGCAACTCGGCCCGCCGCTTCTTCTTGGAGCACGAAACGTCTGCGGACATCCTGGGCCTTGATTCCACCCTGATCCGCCGCTTCAGCTACCTCCTCCGCGCTGCGTCCTCCAACTTCCACCTAGACGAAGAGCGGTTCGGCGTGTACGCGGTTGAGACGGCCAGGATATTGGTCAGTCAGTATGGGTGGTTCAGGATGCCCCAGTCGGTCCACAAGCTCCTGATCCATGCTCCCACTGTCTCCGCCGGCATGCTCCTTCCCCTGGGGGCGATGTCAGAAGAAGCCCAAGAAGCCAGGAACAAGGACTTCAAGGCAATCCGGGAGCACCATTCGCGCCAGATGTCCCGGGTTCAGTCCAACACCGACCTGGTCCACCGGCTTCTTGAGACTTCCGACCCCTTGATCAGCCCCCTCCGGATGCGGAAGCGGAAGACTCCGACGACCACGGCCACGGACCAGTTTCCTTCAGAGGTCCTGGCCCTCCTTCGGGCTCCATCGGTGAAGCTGTAGAGCCTGGGTGGTGGTGGTGGTTGTCTTGCTGGTCGCGGGGATGAGCTTTCAGTGTGTGTTATGATGGGGAGGGAGGCATAAAGTTGCCAACTTTCAGTGTGTGTTATGATGTGACATATAAACAGTTTTGTTACAAATCATTCAGTGTGTTTGTGTGTTTGTGTGTGTGTTTGTTAAAGCTGGCCAACTAAAATCACTCGTTATTTTCGGTTTCTGATGTAAAATGTAGAAATTCGGTCATGTTTATGCTCATAGATCCTTTTCATGTGGATTTGAACTCAGTTCACTCAAAAATTATTTTTGATCGACTTCTTCGTGAATCTGGACCAGTGTGCGCCGCCCAGCAGCCGCACGGAGCAGACACCGCTCCGTCTCGGTGGCCGGGGCCGCACGCCGGCCGACGCCACGGCAGAGTCCCTCCATGCTGTAGAGGCTACTCGGCATGACAGAGGCTAGGGCACAGTAGCCTACAAAGTACGGCAAACAGACTTAGTGGTAGCCACCGCCGTAGCCGCCGTAGCCTCCCTTGTGTCCTCCGCCGTAGCCGCCGTAGCCTCCCTTGTGTCCTCCGCCGTAGCCGCCGTAGCCTCCTTTATGTCCTCCGCCGTAGCCGCCGTAGCCTCCCTTGTGTCCTCCGCCGTAGCCGCCGTATCCTCCCTTGTGTCCTCCGCCGTAGCCGCCGTAGCCTCCCTTGTGTCCTCCGCCGTAGCCGCCGTAGCCTCCCTTGTGTCCTCCGCCGTAGCCTCCCGGACTGGCCAGGGCGAGTGCGCAGAGCGCGGAGAGCACCACCATTAGAGCCGACAGGACCTTCATGCTGAGCGCTGGATGGTGGAGCAGGCTGTGACCTGGCTCTGGCTGGTCGGTGTCGGGTTTTATACCGGCCAGCCGCGGCCGTGTGAGGTTTCCACACGAACAGGTCACGCCCAGACATCGCCGTCGGCGGCAGGTCGTGGCCTTTCTGATCACGGTACACACGCCGCATGATATATGCATAACTGAATGTAGCGCATGGTATTCCTGCATGAACTTAGATTTGTGGTGGGAAGCGCATGAATGATTTTCTGCCCCAGGATCCTGTGGTGCTCCCACTAGGGTTTGAGCCTTAGTTGAATTCCGTGAGTGACTTGTGATGCGTGAATGGCATGTGTATGTGTGCATTACCTACATATGCGCACATAAATTAACCCGCGCCCCAGTGGTGGTCTCAGCCAACTTCGCCCTAGTGGGGGAGGCATATGTTACCACCCACTTCTAACTAAAAACTAAGAGAGCTAGAAAGACGCAGCAAAAAGCAGTCGATAGCTCTCAATGCGTATACGTTTGAAAGTATTTTGGTCATTTTTTATCTTAGAGCAGTATTGGGGTCACTGGAGGTCATCAAAGGTCAAAATTTGCCAAATTTTATTACATTTTTCAGAAAACATGCATTTATCTCAGGAACTATGATAGCTAGAAAAACACATGGAAAAGCAATCGACAGCTTTTGAGCTATTCTTTTGATAAAGCCATCATCAAAATTGACCTACCTAAAGTCAACGGGCCTCCAGAGGGCAAAAACTCAAAAAATACCTGTTTTTACGAAAAGTGTTTTTCGGCAATAACTTGCGCGTAACCACAGGCCTGAAGTTACTGGGGACCACATGGAGGACCGCGAAGACCAAATATTATATTTCAGGATCAGTCTTCACCCGATTGGGGGGGGGGGGTCGGGGTAATTTTCTTAGTCTCTTTTACATTAGTGAGGGTTTATGATACCAACAAAATACCAAACACATTACGATCGAAATACCAAATACCAAGTTGGTATCGGTTTGGTATCGGTATACCAAAAAGTTGGTATCCGATTGACATCTCTAGTATGAACAATTCGTATATCTCAAAGTCACATCGGTGACCTAATGTCAGGTCAATTTTGCGACCTCTCCATAAAAAGTCAATGGGTGAAAATTGAAATGCTTTTCTTTTGGCCGAAAACATATTCAAACACCGTGAAACAGGTAAACATGACACAATGAACCGGAAAATTGCACCTGTGACTCCTTCTACATATGTCCCTGAGGTCATCTCAGTTTATGAAATATCTCCAACAGTTTTTTTTACCATAACTTTAGGTAGAAACAATGCTAGAGCGCTGAAAACACTATGAATGTGTTCAGCTCAGCAATACGAATCAAATGGCATGCAACATGACATTTTCCATGACTTTGGCCTGAGGTCAAATTTTCAAGTTGACCTTTTCAGTTCAACTTATAATTCGTTCGACGCGTCTCGACGAGACAAAAGCGATGCCGGTAAAATCAACGTCATAAAAGCTTGGAGTCGAAAGTTATGATACAAAAACCGCTTCCGCAAAAACACCAACTTTTGATAGTTTCTGCCTCTGGAGGCTAAACCGTTGACCTTAGGTCAAATCTGAGAACATTAATCAGAACGACCTTTGAAAGAGCTATCGAATGCGATTTCCAGCAGCACTGCAGCTCTATTGCGGTTCCCGACTTATGCGCCAATGTGTGAAAAGTTGCCAAAATCGAGAACAAAAGTACGTAAAAAATTACCTTTGGTGACCTTTAGTGACCTCAGGGATGACCAGATCAAAAATGTCCTAGATAATTCTGAAAGATCCTGTAGCGAGCTATATGTTGCTTTTTACTGCGTCTTTCTAGCTTGCTTACTTTCCGAGTTAATCTGGTGTGGCCAAAAAGGCCCCCCACTATGGCGAAGTTGGCTGAGAAGCCCACCCGGGCGCGGGCTAAACAAAACATGCATAGTTTTGTCTTCCGTTGACTACATATTACTCTTCACGTCCATTTAGAGACAATATTTGTCTATTTAAGCAAATTGAGGAGGTCGTATGTTTTACTGGGGACGGTCCCCAGTAACCCACAAGTTACTGGGGACCGGTCCCCAGTGTCCCCAGTGGTGGTTATGCGCCTGGGCCTCATGTGACCGAAATAGATTGTGTTAAATAAAGTACCTAGTTTCGGTGTCAACATCACTCCATCCGTTTCTGTACCTTTCTACTGTTGGGAAGAACACAACTCAGGTGTTTCCAACCCTCAGCGACTCCCAAACCCAACCAAACTTGTACATTTTAAAGGGACACTCCCACCTTAACATTAGTTTTGAGTTGAGATAGCCAAATTGGTGGCCATGGCCTGCAAATACCGGTTTGGGCACTCACAACATCGACAAATGCTTTAATTCGGAGATTTGGAATTTCAAACTTGCAGTTTTCGGATTCTAAGGGGCTAGTGCATTGGTATGCCCCCTTAGAATTTGTGACGTCAGCGGAGATCTAACGATTTTTAAATCTTTTACTAAAACGTTTGGTAGCACGCGGTGGTATATGCTGCTTTGCGCGCAACAAATGCCGCACTTTCAAATAAAGTCGCTAGGAACAGCGGAGATCCCAAAAAGTAAACAAAAGTAAAAGTCGAATATCTTGAAAACCGGTGAATATTTTTCGGTGAAATTTGGTAGATATTCGTTTTCGCTCTTTCTGAACCGAGCGACATCACTTTCATGCCAATTCACAAACTTTTTTGAAGGTGGGAGGGTCCCTTTAAGGGAAATCGGCATTCGTCGCTGAAAAAGTTGCTAGCGTCGACGCCAACTACACGGACATGGAAATGTACTGTGATAGTGCGATAAAACTATAGTCATTGGATACAGAACAATTTATTACCAGCTCATTAACTTTAGAACAAGCATTAACACAACACATTCATTCGAAAACACAGATGAGGTCACGATCCAGGCCAGCGATGAATTGTCCGTCAGTCCAGCTCAGACGAGGCAGACGATCCAGGTAGACAGGACGGGATACAGAGGTTTTGATAGATTAAATCAGGCAACTAACCACAGGACTAGGTGTCCAGGGTCCGGCTGTGCCGCCGCCCAGCAGCCGCACGGAGCAGACACCGCTCCGTCTCGGTGGCCGGGGCAGCACGTCGGCCGACGCCACGGCAGAGTCCCTCCATGCTGTAGAGGCTACTCGGCATGACAGAGGCTAGGGCACAGTAGCCTACAAAGCACGGCAAACAGACTTAGTGGTAGCCACCGCCGTAGCCGCCGTAGCCTCCCTTGTGTCCTCCGCCGTAGCCGCCGTAGCCTCCCTTGTGTCCTCCGCCGTAGCCGCCGTAGCCTCCCTTGTGTCCTCCGCCGTAGCCGCCATAGCCTCCCTTGTGTCCTCCGCCGTAGCCGCCGTAGCCTCCCTTGTGTCCTCCGCCGTAGCCACCGTAGCCCCCCTTGTGTCCTCCGCCGTAGCCGCCGTAGCCTCCCTTGTGTCCTCCGCCGTAGCCGCCGTAGCCTCCCGGGCTGGCCAGGGCGAGTGCGCAGAGCGCGGAGAGCACCACCAGAGCCGACAGGACCTTCATGCTGAGCGCTGGATGGTGGAGCAGGCTGTGACCTGGCTCTGGCTGGTCGGTGTCGGGTTTTATACCGGCCAGCCGCGGCCGTGTGAGGTTTCCACACGAACAGGTCACGCTCAGACATCGCCGTCGGTCACACTCGTGACGTCTTTTGTCAAGTGTGGTTTGGTTGTCATGGGACGGTTTCGAATGCGATATCCATAGCTAGGGATGACCAAAATTTTGTATTTGCGAGAGGCTTCTCAGATCATTATTTCAGTCGACGAAGCTCAGCATGTGCAATAAAACATTGTCTATGGTGTGTAATCATGCCTTGCGTGCTTGTTCTCTTTGAATCGAAGCGTAAAGAGACGGCTACGCAGTACGCAGCCAATTAATGTGACCCTCCGGCCTCCCACCTTCAAAAAAGTTAATGAATTGGCATGAAAGTGATGTCGCTCGCTTCAGAAAGAACAAAAACGATTATCTACTAAATTTAACCGAAAAACATTCACCGGTTTTCAAGATATTAGTCTTTTACTTTTGCTTACTTCTTGGGATCTTTGCCGTTCTTAGCGAGTTTATTTGGAAGCAATAATTTGGCAGCTGAAAGTGTGGCACTTGTTGCGCGCAAAGCAGCATATACCACCGCGTGCTACCAAACGTTTTAGTAGGTAAAAGATTTAAAATCTTTAGATCTGCGCTGACGTCACAGTGTGACGGTCACACATTCAGAGGGGGCATTCTAATGTATTAGCCCCTCTGAATTAAAGTGCTGGAACTTTGAAATTAAATATTTTCGATTTGAGGCATTTCTCGATGTTGTGAGTGCTCAAATCGGTAAGTGCAGACCAGGGACCCCATTTTGGCTATCTCAACTTAAAACTAGGGGGATGGTCACTTTAAGGACAAGTGTTCTCACAGTTGGTGACAGGTGAGACCTCTTATTTTTGCATGTTAGGGAATATTTTACTTCTTAAATAAAACAAAAATAAGGAATGCTCGTCCTTGTGGCTCTCATTACCTATGGTACTCCATTCTGAAATTCCCGTATGTTACTCTCATTCTCTCAGACACGCCGGTTTACCTCAGACGTCTCTCGTTTATTCATTGACGCCACTGTCACTCTCCATAACGATGTCAAAAGGCCACCGGCGGTGCAACAACATCCACATATATCGGACACTCATTCGGCTGTGGCCGCGCGGCCGTGGTCTCTCGTGGGGGGCGGCCGGGCCGGGGCGCCGCCGCCGGCACTCGCCGGGGCTCGACACCGGCCGGCCCGGGCCGCGGCAGCCGGCGGGCAGACTGCGGACGTTCGGCCGACTCGGTACGGGCAGCGGGCGCGGGTCGCGCGGACACTCTGCAGTGCACACGCCGCCGGCGGACGGCCGGGCGCCGCCGCGCCGGGGCCACACACGCTACAGGAACAGGGTCAGCGGGGACCACTAAGCGCGGACGGAGCGGGTTGAGACGGGACGCGGCGGGACGCGACGCGGCTCCCGGGCGCCGTGACCGCCCAGCCGCGGCCACCGCGTCCGGGAGGGCGCCGGACGACGGCGGAGGCGCGGCGGCTCACTGCTCCACGCTGCTGCGCGTCTGCTGCACCACCGTGATCGAGCCGCCGGGCACGGCCGACTGCGTGACGAAGCTGCGGTGCTTGGTGCGGATCAGGTTCATGCTGGTCTCGGCGCTCTCGGCGCGAGCCTCGGCCGCCTCCAGCTCGCGCTGGAAGTGGCGCACGCGGGTGATGTTTTGCGACGACATCTGCTCCTGCTCCTGCAGCTGGCGCTTGTACATGTTGACCTGCGGAGGAAGAATAGAGGATGTCAGCAGAGGTATGTTACCTGCCAGGAAAGCATGCAGAAACGATTACGCTGGATTATTTTGCAAAACATTCATGACTTGAATAAGCTGGTCTCAGTTGGAATAAATTATGTTGAATCGCAAGACACGAATCGTGAAAGTCCGCAGGATCAGTCTCTAGAAGGACACTGTCCCTACCTTCTGCGACTGTTTGTCGAGGGTCTCCTGGAGCATGAGGATGTTTTGCTGGTCCTCCTCCATCTGGATCATCAGCTCCTTAACGTTGCGCTCCTTCTTGCGGTACAGGCTCTGCGTCTCGGCGTGGCGACGCTTCTCAGCGTCCAGCTCCAGTTCGAGGTCGCGCAGCTAGAGGAGAGACGGTGCATGGGTTAGCGGGGGTGGTGGGTCCGGGTGTGAAACACACCTCATTTTACTGTTATGGGCAACCTTTTCACTTTTGGAACTTCTAAAATTTGATATTGAAAGGGGCTGTCGAGCTGGAAATAAGCATTGCAATTATTATCTTTGATTATTTGCCTATCAAATTAATACGACACTTCTATCCGTAATGTGGAAATTATTTATAGTCACCGTGGAAATTAGGTTCCTAGACACTCCTTGGCAATGCCGACTATGTCCTTACTGAATAGGTTCGGCGTCAAAGTTTAAGTGAAGGCTTACCCATTGGAATCCATTTTGGCTGCTTTGGATGTTGAAACACGGTGTCAAATGACAATGGTTTCATTACAAAGAGCAAACATAAAGTTGATTGTTATGTTTGGATACCAATATCGCAAGAATGTTTCATGATAATGCCGGACCAAAAGATCTTGGATGTGCGCCCACACATTGTTATCTTTCCGATTAGAGCCAATAAATAAAAAGTGATAATTATTGCATATTTTATGTGATAGCCCATTCTGCAAAATTCTAAAATAGTTTGCTCAGCACTCCGGTATCGAAGGTACCTCTCGTGCCCCCTCCCCCAGGCCCCAGCCCCCTGCCGCGCTCACCCTAGCCTCCAGCTTGCTGATGACGCGCTTGCCGCCGGCGATGGCGCTGGCCTCCACCTCCTCCAGCCGGATGGTGAGGTTCTTCACCTCCACCTCCAGCGACTTCTTGATGGTCTCGATCTTGACGATGCGTGTCTGCTCCTCCTGCAGCACTTCCAGGCTGTGCTTGAGCTCGCTCTGCACACGAACGTACCTCTCGTCCACCATCTGAAACAGGAGAGCGGGGGTCGTTAGGACTTGGCACACGCAGGAATCGATATTACGGCCTAATTAAATCTATCATGTAATCGTTCGGTATTTTCATAACGGTTCCATGCATATATTTCTGTACACCGCAAATCGGTGAACGGAGGTAGCCGATACATGGGTAGACCTCTGTGTATCCGTAAAGCGGTAAGCAGATGTCTCCGTGTGTTCATGCCGACATGTGCGCTACCTAAACAAGGACAGCAAGAGTTCAAAGCAAACTGCAAAGTAATTGTGAATCCAGCTAGAAGACAAATGAGAATCCATGTGAAGGCCGTCTTCAAAGAGACGGTACTGATAATCGGCTCGCCATCATCAGCATCGGATCATCGGCATTCAAGGACGCTTACCTTGAGTTCCTTGGTGACTTCGTCGTAGTCTGAGGTGAGGTTGACCAGCTCCTGCTCCAGCTTGCTCTTGACGCTGGTCAGGTTGACGTTGATGGTCTGCAGCTCGTTGATCTTGACGCGGAATTCCTCGCACGCCTCCTCGGCAGAACGCTTCTGACGCAGGGCCTGTGGATACGTGACACGGTAGGATGATTGCGTGGTGGGTGTAAATTGAGCTCTGGCGGATCGGGACTTAATGTCATGGCCGTCAAGGTTAAGGACCATGGATCCGCCATTTGAGACTGCGACCGCTTAACCCTCGCCCTGGCAGGGGGGGGTCGATGCGACCCCCCCCCCTAAGGTTTTTCGAAGATAGCGTAAACACGGCGGCGCGCAGCGCCGCCAAATTTGGCACAGCCTATGGGGCAACCTTTTTACATATGACCTGAAAATTTCAGGTCCGGGTGACCTTGGGTCAGGTCACCAGGTCAGAAAAACCGGCACAAGGTCATGGTCAAATTTCAATTTTCTTTTTGCACCTGTCCAGCTCACAGTTTTGGACTGATTTCCTTCAAACTTTCAGGGTGTGCGAAGTTCACCGAGTTGTATAACATATAGTTCGGGTTTTTTGAGGTCACTGACCTGAGGTCAGTTAGAGGTCATTACGTCGTAATGTTAAGCCTATGGAAAATACTAAATTCGGAAAATACTGGAGATATCCGCTTCGTTCTATCACTTTTGTGCTTTGAAACCACATTACTTAACAGCAGGTCACTTGGTGCTTCTTTGTTTGGTGTACTTATCCATGGGTCAGGTCAAATGAGGTCAACTGAGGTCAAATGACGTTTTTGCCAATAACTTGGCACATAATGACGCTAGAGCTTAAAAAATGGTGTCATTGTGTTCCTGGTGATCAGCCGAATCGAATGATATGCGATATGATGCAATTTGGTTAACTTGAACTTAATTGATTAATTAAAGTTTACTTAAAAATTAAGAAAAAACTTTAAGTACAGTTAAGCAAGCTAAAAAGTATATCATTCGACGCGCCTTGACGTGCTGAGTTCACTGGTGCTTTTCTTTTTGCTCTATCTTAATTAGATCAAAAGTTATAAGCGAAAAACTTTTGACCTGTTTTTAGCGATATTTTTACATTTATACCCCCCCAAAACCCCCCTAAATATTGACCTAGAGCAACCAAATTTGCACAGGGGCGAGAACTCCGGGGGGCCCACCTACCTACCAAATTTGGTGTTTCTAGGTGCCATAGGAGCCAATCGCGAGGGGGGGGGGGGGTCGCATCGACCCCCCCCCCCTGCCAGGCCGTGTTATGAAAAATGCCCTGCCAGGGCGAGGGTTAAGCACCTACCATTTAAGCATAGGTATGTACTATATGACGTACAACTTCGCATACACGCAATCGAGCGGATCGCTTACTCGTTTCAAAGATTGCCAGAAAGAGTATCTTTTTGGACTTCACCCACTCGACACTTCGTCGGCGTCCCACAATACGCCGTGCCAGGAGCCCAATCGGCGGCCGTACCTGGTCCATGTTGCCGCGCGTCTCCTCGCACTCGGTGGAGAGCGCCTGGATGCGCCGCTGCGCGATGCCGTACTGGTCCAGGGTGGCCTGCAACTGGCGCTGAACGTCGTCGTAGTGAGACTGCAGCTCCGTCAGCTGCCGGAAACAGTTTAGTCGTTAGAGGGGAGGGTTTGCATATGATCATAGTAGTTGTGAGGAGCAGAAATAGTAGGTCTACAGAGCTTCGCATTGCCAACGACACCTTCCGCAATAAAATGTCAAAATTTACCTGCAGCGACAGCTTCTTGATCTGCTTCTGCAGGTCGATGTTGTTCTTGTTGGAGACGTCCAGCGACATCTCCAGCTCGGTGATGGTGACCTGCATCTTCTTCTTGATGCGGAGGACCTCGGCCTTCAGGCGGGCCTCGGCGTCCGCCAGACGGCCGCTCATCTGCTCGATCTCGATGGTCAGCGTCTTCCTGCGGGATAAATACGGAAACAAATTAGAGAAGAATGACCGGCATCAACACCATGTTGACAGCGGCGATTGAGAGTTGTTCGCATGCCACCAAGTTAAAAATGATCTTCGTTATTCAAGTCTATAACGGCAAGTCTTTGTTGGCATGTGATGAGTCACGATGCTTTTCGTAGTCTAAGTGCAAGTATCGGCAGACGTAGTGAAGTGGAAGCGAGTACTTCACTTACCTGACGGACTCGATCTCCTCGTCCTTCATCGAGATGCGCTTCTCCATTTCGTGACGAGTCTGACCCAGCTCGCCAGACAGCTGCTGGGCACGAGACTCCTCCGCACGGCGACCCTGCCAAGTCACAGTACCGGCTGTCAGCGCTAGGTGGCAGCACGAAAAGGCGATTCGTTCAACCCACACACTAAAGCGCTGCTGTTGAATGCGCTTATCAAATACAAGCTGAAATGATCTCGAATAAACCGTAAGATAAATGATTGTAAGCTAGGCAACTGCCAATTATCGACTTTTTAACTTTGTCGGTTGACGATCATCGCCCGTCATTGGAAAGTGTTATTTTGAACTAAAACATCAATCACATCCCACCTAAGATTTCATATTTTTCCTTTGTTACTATTTTCGCCTTTTGTCAATCAAAACAAGCAAGGAGGAGGTCATAGCGCGTCAGCGTCATCTAAATCTATAACACGGCGTGCTCTCCGTTTGACGCCGAAATCGGCCCACCCATTTGCTGACCCCTGTGACCCCTGTGACCCAACTCACGGCCTCGGCCTCTTTGTAGGCGGTGGCCAGCTCGGCGCGCTCGTTCTCCAGCCGCCGGTTCTCCAGCTCCATCTCGTGGTAGCGGCGCGTCAGCTCCGCCAGACCGTTCTTCAGGTCGTGATTCTCACCTGAAAACGTTCGCAACGTCACAGACTGAACAGTGATTGTGGATATGTGTCCTGGGTTTGACAGGCTCAAAAGCTCATCAAGATAATGTAGTGAGCTATCGACTCATTTGCACACAAGATGAGCTATCAAAACGCAAGACCCCTAACGAGGGCTTTAACTGCTTTCTGAAGGAACTGAAAGTGGACATCAATGGCGACTCCCGAAAGGAGCATTCGGCAAGCTAGCCTTATCGGCGCTTCACTGACCCTCGAGTTTCTTGTTCTCGCGTCCGAGGTTATTGTTCTGCTCCTTCAGCTTGTCGTTTTCGGCGTTGAGCCGCTGGATTTCGCCGGCCTTGGCGCGGTTGTCGCGCTGACTCTGGTCGTACAGAGCGGTCATCTCGTCCAGCTGAGGAATAGAGAACAGGGGGACACCTGGTCAACGTGGGGTCATGTCGATACTGACAGCCATGGATTGTATGCAAAAGTAGTGTAGTTGGATTGAGCTGATGGAATTAATTGAACGGTGCCTAATCTCAACCGCTATGACTAATAAATATTGGTGCGTAAGTCTTCTGGTCTCTTACAGACACGCCATATCGGCTGCTTATCAATCCTGCGAGTACCTATGAGTCTCGTTGAAATAGCATACCGCAACTTCAGGATTGGAAAGATGAACATGACTACGGGTGACAGAATCGGTCTTTCTGGGATTCATAAACAGCAAAGTGAATGACGAACCTTGGCCTTGAGCTCGTTGTTCATCCTCTCGAGCATCTCGCAGCGCTTCTGGAGGTCGCGGCACGAGCCGTTGGCCTTCTCGAGGTCGATGATGAGCACCTCCACCTCGGACTGCAGGCGCGACTTCTGCTTCTCCACCTGGGACAGCTTGGCCATCAGAGTCTCGATGTGTTCCTCCTGCTCCTGGATCTTGAGGGTGAACTTGCGCCTGCAGTAAAGAGACGCGCGGTGTTGTGGTCAGCTCACGGAAATACGGCATTCAAAGAAACAAAGAACGTATGGATCCCATAGGTACTCAGCGGGAAAGTTTAAAGCATTATGGCAAGTTTTCGAGATCACAAGAGGTCTCATCAGACATCAGCACCTAGATGCACATTCAATACACAAAACGTATAAGGTCTTGCCGACTTCCTTGCACGTCAAGCGCCCACAATATCAGCCATGCACTGATTCATAAGAAATATAGCAGTCCCAATGCACACTACCCAGTACCCATTGATTGAAACCCTTTACGCAGGCCTTCACCACGCACCTGAGTTCCTCGATTTCCTCGGAGCGGGCGGCCGCCTCGGACTCGTATTTGCCGCGCCAGCTGTCCACGTCGGCACGGGCCTTCACCAGGGTACGCTCCAGCTCGAGACGCACCGCGGACTCCTCCTCGTACTGGTTGCGCACCGACTCGAGCTCGAGCTCGACCGTGTGGAGCTGTGACTCGAGCGTGCTGCGACGCTGGCGGCGGAGAGTGAACAGCACGGTCACGTCGAGGTCGAGGAAGGGAGGAAGAATACCCACAAAAAGAGAGGAAACGATCAACAAATTTTAATTCAAATTGTAGGCATGTCTACTTGGCGTAAAAACGACAAATTTATGAAATGATAAATCGAACATTTCGAAGTTAAGTGAAATAATACTTTGGATCAGATCCAAACTGCAGAATGAGGATGGGTGGCTCCATCGACAAGTGAACCTAAGTTAAGCTCTACCTCAAAACTATACGTTGGAATCAGGCTAATGCTTACCAACATGTGACCGGGCGTCACTAGCTAGCTTGTCCCGTAGAACACCACTGGCCTGAGCTTCCCACCTCTTTCCCTCCCGCTGACCCGTCTTCCGACTTACCCTGTCCTCCTCCTCCAGTCTGCGGGTGGCGTCGTTGAGCGCCGTCTGCAGCTGGTGCTTGGAGTACTGCACGTTCTCCATGGTCGACTTCATGTCCTGGATGTCTTTGGTGAGCGAGATGTTCTCCTGCGAACGAAAACAGAACGATTATGCTCCGCTCGTGGCTGAGAAGTTCGAGCATACATTTCTAAACATTGAGCAATCAGTTTGCCATATGTTGCTGCATTGTTAAGGTACTGAGGTCTAGGCCAATATCGGCACCACCATCGTAGTTCGATGCTCCCGACTTGTGTGACGCCACGGGGTTCGACGCCCTGTGGATCCGCCGTCTCGATGCTGCAATTTTCGATGCGTCATGTTGATCTGCGCGTCGTGTCGCTTACCTGGGACAGCCGGGTCTTGACGCTGGTCAGGTCAATGATGGTCCTGTTGATCTCCTCGATCTTGACGGTGAGCTCGTGGACCGTGACCTCGAGCTTCTCACACTGCTTGATCAGGACGGTCTGGCGATGGAAGACACGCAGTGGGGTCAATGTTTGAGTTACCGCATAAGCATGACTTCGGGACGTGTTAATATAGTTATATGTAACTAGGCTGGGTAAATAGCTTCAGTTGGGTTTAAGAAAAGTTCACCGAAGTCCTTTGCATTTGCGGGTGTTTTTCTCTTTTCGTCAGTTCACACACCTTTGATATTATTTAAAGAATAACAAGTTTCCATGTTAGTTTGTGTATTTTGTACTGCAGTGCATCGTACCTTCTCCTTGCTGGAGGATTCAACCAGACTCATAGCTTCGTAGAGCTCCTGCTGAAACTTGTTCTTCTCCTTTTCCAGCCTGGAAGGACAGACAATCACATTTACCTGTCATATCGAAAAAGGATGAACTCTGAAATCACAATGTTATCGCTCGCTCTAAACCGATCGCATTTCTAGCCGAGAATGATATGAGTTACTGAAACGCAAGCAATTATAACATCAAAGATAAGACCATATTATTGAAACTCTACGGCTTTTCATCGTTTATATGTCAGCAATTAACAACGCAACATAACATAAACCAAACGTCAGCTGCAGCCACCCTGTCCGGTGCCGAGCTCGCCCCTCACCTGGAGCGGGTCTTGACGAGCGCGTCCAGCTGGTCGATGTACTCCTGGATCGTCTCCTGGTGCTTCTTCTTCATCACGTGCAGGTTGTCCTCGCTCTCCAGGTGCACGTCCTCCAGCAGCTTCCGCAGCTTCAGCAGCTCGCTGTCCCGCTTCTTGTTGATCTCCACCTGAGACAGGCAGAGGTCGAGGAATGATGAGACAATTGGCGCTGGACGCCCTGTTCACACATTACTACGCTGGGCTGGGCTTTCGTGAACGTTACCGAATATGATTGAAAATGTGATTGGCTAAAACAAATACAAACCTTTTAAATTATGAAACGGTGGGCGTAAATATTTAAGGACAGAATGCCGATTTTATCTTTTCATCAACTATCTTACCTATTTATCAACTGTCTCACCTGCCCATAAGGAGCTAGTCAAATCACTATGGTCAGATTGTCCCATTGTCTCACTTCTCACCTGTCCATCGACGCCGGCCTCTGCCTCCTCCAGGCGCTCGCGCAGCTGGATCACCGTGACGCTCAGGTCCGACTTGTCACGCTCAATCTGGCGACACGTCACGACACGTCACGTTACGACATCTCACGACGCGTCACGGTTTGCTCGTGACGCCGTCACGCCGGTGGCGGCAGATGGCGACAGACAGCCGAGACACGCGTGACAGTCAATGGGGTCTAGGTGAAGCGTGAACGCACTGACACGCGTGCTTGGCTGGTTTGGTGGTTACTGGTTAGGTAATTTGTTGTTTAGCTTGCGCTTAGGTGATCGCCTTGCGTGTTTATTCTTTTATGTTAGTGCTTGAACGGGATATCTAACCTTTTCTTTCTCAAGTCTGTTTGCGTGTAGTTGTCTCATTTCGTCCTAGCAATTCGCGAAGAAATGTAAAGTGTTTTATACTTTGTAAGGACGACACACGAGTAGTCAATGCCAATTTCTAAGCGCAAACAAAGAGCGCAGACGTTTTGAAAGAAAACAACACGCCCGGGAAACGACCACAAGAAACACGGGGCATGTTGATTCAAGCCCACCAGGAAATGATTGATGTTGCCTCTGAACACATACTGCTAACCGGCTTGTGTAGGTCACTGGGTACAGGATCAATTTCTTTCCATTTTACACTTTCAGTCACTTATAGGCACTGCGCCGAGACCTATAACTTTGATAACTAATTGTTTGATATACCCAACTGACTAATCTATCTTAGATTACAAAGAATATTACATAGTGGACGGTCATAATGCTTATGCTATGACGTCGTGGTTGGGATTAATAAATTTCCTGCAACGCAGCACCCCTCTGTTCGACTCACCCGCTGTCGCAGCTCGCGCTCGGACTCGAGGTCATCGTGCAGCTGTCTGATTCTGTCCTGGGGAGACACGGAACGGCGTCACATGACGAATCACAGGCGGTTGGTCACACGACACACACACACGCGCGACGGTACAACTGCGGGACAAGGTGACTTTGAAAAGGGCGGGGTGAAAACAACAGACAATACACGCGTTGAAACGGGCGGGAAACTGCCACGTGGTTGTCGGCATAATGGTTTGGATAATCGGTGGTAGCATGCACAAAACAATGGGTACATACTACATACTGCATTCGAATAATTTTATGCAATTTATTCGGCGTTTCGTGCTAATTTTCTATTCTGTTTTTGCATTTACTAGACTGAGCATACGTGGATGGTTCAAAAGGATTCTTTTGATTTTACATCGTCGATCGCATTTTACGAGTATTTGTAACATTGTTGGAACTTGGATTATCCAGCATCATAGACGTAAGATATTGCCTGGCAGCTGCACCGTGTTACCTGCTGCAGTCTGACTCATTATCTGGTCCCCCATACTTGTCATTTTTTCCTTATGCCGTGTGTTATTTTTGCCCTGTCTGGGCCGGTTGTGGCGGCGTTCGCTCGGTCACTGCCAGGGGGCAGGGACCGGGCCGGCGGTGACCGACTGAGCTGGCCTCGCCGGCCGCCACTGCCGAGTAATTTTGGCTCGGGGCGCTATGTGACACGTCGGAGACGGGCCGGCCGGCCGGCCGGGCCGCCGGGCTGGCAGCGACCCGGCTGCACGAGGTGGGCGGGTCGGTGGCGGAGACGACACAGGCGAGCTATGGAGTTTTCCGTGAGTGTGGGATGAGGAGGTGTTTGAGCGATGGAACTTGCTGCAAAACGACTGGTGTTTATTATAAGTATCAAATCTTGGAAACTTGCAGGAATGCAATTACTTAACTATTCTGGGATCGTTGTTTAATGGGCAGAAAGATAAACGCATTACCCATTTTTTCAGTTCGACTGACCCAATTAGATCATTGAATGTTGCTTATCCTGGCAGCTGCAAGTGCGAACGGTGTGAAGAGCAGCTCTTCCTCCATCGTGACACGTGACACCGATTTTCCGGTAGCATTGGCACAGATCTGAGTCCGTCTAAATTAGAGCGGCCCGTGCCGCTGGGGGGCGAGTCTGCCGGCCAGGGGTGTCCGATGCCATCCAGCAGGTGGCGGCAGCCCGGCCGTCGCTCGGGGGCGGGTCCAGGTGGAAAAATGGGGGCGGGCCCGGCCGGTCGAGACGACTGCGACGCGGCCCCGAGTCCCCAGTAGTCGAGTGGCCGTCTCACCACCGTGCCAAGGCGAGCAGCCGTGTATTTATAGCCGTCTGGCTGCCGCTGGCGGCAGGGGCGGCGCCGGGACGGGCGGTCAGATTGTCCCCAACAAACAGGGAACGGGTACCGGGTGGGTGGGTGGCACTACTGACACAGTTCCTTCCATCCATGTGGATAGAGTCGGCTGGTTGTGCGTGCCCCTGCGGCGTGGAATATTGAACAGGAGAGGATTCATAGGCTACCTTGGCGTAAGTTTTTGGCTACCTACAAAATAATAATTTACTTTCAAATCTAGCATTGTGGGGTTCCCTTTTGGGCTTTTCTCACGGTAGTAGCAATAAATATGCTTGGATTAGACCGGAAACAACGAAACACCAATTATTCGATAAAGTGGCCAATAATTTAACGAAGCACAAAACATCAACAAAGGAATAATAATTTTTTAAAGAGGCAAAATTGAGCGTTTTGCAATTGATATGTAATCAAATTTTCACACGAAACGCCAAGGGCCGGTGCCTACTCATGAAAAATGTCCGATATTTTGTCAGCCGCTTGACCACGCCATAATAACATCCTATGCGTCACCGTGACAGGCTTGGTGACGCATAGGATCTCCCATGATTAACGTTATCTGGCAACGTAAATAAGCCAAATCATCCAAGAAGACCTTTGATGAATACAGTTTTCTTCCGCAAATGTGGGCAACGCGCAAAGCTGGAGAAATAATAAGGAAAGATCATCCACCAAATTTATTGTAAACATACGTTGCTGCAATTGACGGCGCAATTGGCATGTCCAAATGGCGAAAGTTATAACTGATCTCCTTTTCAAATTCTTTCGGGGAGTGGTTGCTTTCACAACAAAAGCTACAATCGGTAGGGTACTGCTAAAGTACTGGCCGGGCGGGGGTGAGGGGCTTGAAATAACTTTTTCTGGTTTCAGGGATTCACGACAGCAGAGCTGTCGTGACAACGGGGCTGTTGAAACAACTCTTAGACCCTCTATCAATGAACAATCTCTATGCAATCTATGTACTTCACTAAAATACCTCACTAGAATGGCCCAACTTATCCCAGGATTCAATTTCTGCAAAACAAATTGGTTTTTGAAGGGTTTCATGCAATTCAATCAACAGACGGCACGGGATAACACCAACGAAATCTCCAAAGGAGCAGTATTCATTGTACTAACGTTGAAGCGCTTGACGACCATTTGTTCTTCATGCGCCTGTCGAGGATTCCGATTTGTCAGTGTTATGCAGCATGCATATATGTTTTACCGTAACAGATAGTTTGGGGAGCAGGCATAAGTTATTTTTAAGTTAATTTACGCACAAATAAACACAAGGCAGAGCAAAAAAGCAAATGATGAAGTAGTGTGTTATGAATGAAGAGCTTTGTAAAGAATTACTATTTAATTGTGAAAGTAAGTAAGGTAAGTAGTACCTTTATTATATTATGTAAGTATGAGGCAACACATGTCAAATTATTATCATTCACATATATTTACATTAGTCAAGATATTGCATTGTATTTAGAGTACACATGCAAGACAATATTAACGTACAAAGGTAAAAAAATGCGCACATATGCATGAATACACAGTGTGACACACCAACCATGTCAAGAGAGACATAGGTATAACAAAAGCATTTCCATCCCAAACAGTTTTCACGGTTATGATATTTCAAAATGGTTAAGAGCACTGTGCCTGAGTCATATCCGCAGCGGTCACGTTAATTCCAATTGCTTATACAAATCATGTCATGAAATTATCGAGAGCAGTGATCGCTCTAAAAGTCCCTCGCCCGCGCACATGAGGGGGGGGGGGGGGGTTGCCACCCCCAGGTAGTTTTTCTGCTCTGCACTCAACATTTTTAAAGCTAGAAGCCTGATTTTTCGTAAGCTGCTCTTCTATCCTTTCTTAATGTCCACTGAAAATTTCAAGTTTCTGTGGTTTTTTGATTTCGGAGATATGACCTTGTTTTTTCAGGTCATGTCATGACCCAAATGACCAATACTCAACATCTTGCGTTGGCTATGGACCTTGTGAGCTTTTGACACCTTGATTTCGGCATTTTTTTCCCAGTCTTACCTCCCACCTATCATAGAATATGTTGTTCGATAATGTACAGATGTCAAGGTCAGGGTCGAGGTCAACCTAGGTCATCTAAAATAATTGCGTTTTAGGCAAGCTGAATTTACTTTTCGTGAAGTTTTTTGACTGCATTTTGGGCAAAAGCTTCTCAGATCATGATTTCATGTAATATGGACGCATAAACAATCGGTGCACACATCCGTATACACACAGACACACACAGACATGCAAAAACATACCATTGACCTTGACCTAACTTGACCTGAAATGACCTCAGCAGCAAAAACCTGGTCGGGTAGTGTGACAAAGAGGTTCTAGCTGGCTTGGCACCAGAAAACGGCATCGCCATCGGTAGGTATATGACCAGTAGGTATAACGCCTTTTGGGGCAACTAACGGAGCGAGCGAGCGGGTGGGCCTTGCACGTGCGAAATTGCGAGGGGGTACCTTCAACTGACTTGTGCACGGCACCATACTAACCTGTCTCTAGCGATGTGCCAACTTTGAGCACAATCGGCCCAGCCGTTCTCGAGATCTGGAAGCGGCTCTCTGCACGTGCGCACGTGCAAAATGGGTCCCAACTGACTTGTGCACGGCACCCTACTAACTGCTCCGTAACCGTGTACCAAATTTGAGCGCAATCGGTCCAGCCGTTCTCGAGATCTGGAATCGACCCCTGCACGTGCGCACGTGTAGCAGCACCCCAAATCTGGCACATGGATATGCATTGCCTAGTGGGTGCCTACCTACATGCCAACTTTCAGCGCAATCGGCCCGGTAGTTACCGAGATATTGCAACTATTACAAAAGTGGCACCTCTTCGTTTTGCACGTGGCACGTGCATAAGGGGTCACCCACATGCATCGGGAATAGTCCAATACTTTGTAGAAGGAATGAAGCTACCCTACAAAAATTACCGCATGTAAATCGGTCAAGTGGTTGCTGAGATTTAAGCGTCGCAAAATCGTGACCACGGCCGGCCGCTCATACTCAGAAATTTCCGTTATTCTACGTTGCCTCATACTCCGCTCGCTTCGCTCGCTCCGTAGTAAGCAGCGCACTTGGTATTCAACGGTGACCTAAAACAGCAACATTTTTTAGTTTGACCTGACCTGGAAGGTCAACAGGGGCGGATCCAGAAAAACTCCAAGGGAGGGGTCATGAATCGAAGTGGGACACCCTACCTATACCCAAAATTAAAAACTCAACGGATTTCGGCCACTTAATTTTTGGTGGGGCCCTATTTTTAGTTTTTTTCCTGTTTTATTCTTTATTTTGTTTTTTTTCCTGCCCCCTGGGCCCTGACAGAACTGGGGTGCCCCTGACAACCCTGAAGTGTCCCTGACAGGCACGTGGTGCACCTGACAGGCCCAAGGTGCCCCTGCGAGGCCGGTGGTGCCCCTGCTAGACCTCTGGTGCCCCTGACAGGCCTGTAGTGCCCCTGAAAGGACTGTGGTGCCCCTGGGCTCTGACAAGCCTGAGGTGCCCTGACAGGCATGCGGTGCCCCTGACAGGCCCGCAGTGCCCTTGCTAGGCCTGTGGTGTCCCTGGCAGGTCTGTGGTGCCCCTAGCGGGCCTGTGGTGCCCCTGCTAGGCCGCTGGTGCCCCTGGGCCCTGGCAGGACTGTGGTGCTCCTGACAAACCTGAAGTGCCCCTGATAAGCC